TTCTTAAATTGAAATTAGTAGTTTAAGTTTGTATAGCTATAAATATGATTGTTTTTCTTAACTTTTTTTTCTAACTTATTTCTTTAACTTATTTTTTTTAACTTATTCCTTTAACTTATTTCTCTAACTTATTCTTCTCTAACTTATTTTTTTTTCTAACTTATTCCTTTAACTTATTTCTTTCTTTAATTTATTTTTTTCTAACTTGTTCCTCTTTCAAACTATTTCTCTCGAGCTTATTCCTTTCTAACTTATTTCTCTTTAGCTTATTCTTCTCTAACTTGTTCTTTTTTTAACTTTTTTTTTTTTTTCATTTTAGCTATGACAAATAAACTTTTAAATATTTTTTTTTTGTTATTTTATTTTACTTTTAATTTTTGTTTCATTTTTATTTATGGTTGATGCTTACTAGTACCTTTATTTTTATACTTTCTCTTTTTTAGTAACATATCAATTTAGGTTAGATAAAAAAATAAAATGGTTTGTAGTATAACTATATTTGTTGTAACAACTTTGATATAAAATAAGTTATGTTTTTTTTTTCTTTTTTTTGTTTATCAAAGTATTTGAAGTTTTGTAAATAGTTTTATAATTAAAGTTAACTCCAACTTGCTTTTTAAAATTACAGTTATGGATGTTTCATAGTACATACGTACGTATATACGTTGTAAAGGGCAAAAATATCCACCAGGCCTGGATAATACAACTATATATTACTAAGATACTCTAACCAAAACACCACAACTGATACAACCAAACCGTAGTGGTAAGGCAACGATCAAGATGTAGAAAGACTTGATCCAAGTAACTAGGGTAAATTGAATTCTTAGCGATAGTGTTGGATTAGAGCTCTTGATTATATAACAAATCTCTTTATTCAAAATCATGTGATTTGGTTATGAATTCCAATCGTTAACACAGATTTATTTTATTGGGGGGTTAGTAGAACAAACACTTCTACTTCAAGAGCTTAGAAGGTTTTGAACTCTGTGAACTATTCACAAGTTAAGTACTCAGATTTCTTTAACTACGAACTTTAAGCTCCCAAAAGTTATATTTTATTTCTAGAGAGAATCTCCACTTATATAATTATTTTTACTTATACAGGAATAATGCGAATTCTGATTTTTCTAGCTTTTCTAATTTGTCTTGTTATTCTGATTTTTCCCACTATTCTAATTTTTCCTACTTTTTCTTGAATTTTCCAAATTCTAGGAATTTCAGAAATTCCAAAAATTCGTACTATTGATTACTGCAACAACAACCTTTTTTTGGATAGGGTGTTCCTTTCTTTTACAATTCTCCCAACCCTTAAGTTCAAGTTCTACGAGAACATCAAAACAATAAAGATAACCCACAAGAAATAATAAAAGTAAAAAAATACAAAGACACAATGAAAGGTACTCCACATGCCACAAGTCTATCAATTTCAACAACATTCTCATTTTTAAAGTAATGTCTAAGATTATATGTACCATTAGTATAACCAATTCCAATTTCTGCCAGTTTTTGATAATTATTAGATGCTTTACATTTATCTTTTTCAACAATCCTATTTTGATTCAATTTGGCAAGATCATGTGCCTTATTATTCATCTTCGCAAGCATTTGATAACTAGTAGGTGCTTTATATTTATCTTTTATAGTGCTACTTCTACCATCAATATCGTTCCTCAAGATCAGGAACATTTGATCGATCTCAATCTCCGATTCATTCCACCGATGGTTGTCTATCACTCTCTTTTCATTATCAGGTACATTGTAGTACTTTTTATTAATTTTGCATTTTGAGTCTTCATTATCACTAAAATATGCACTTGTTATATCATAGATCACATCATATTTATCTTCAATTTTGCCATCCTTTATTTTATTCTTTCTGATTCCTATTCCTGATAATAGTAACCAGCATTAAGTGTTCCTTTAGTAAGTCATATCCTAGGGTTTCTTTGATAGTTAATAAACATGTTATGTTTGTCTTTTTTTACTCCAATTCTATCACAATACGTTTCATTAGCACCATCCAAATTTCTGGGCTTTTGATAAGCAGTCACTTTATAATCATTTTTTTTAGTTCTGATTCCATATTGAGGACAATATTTAGTAGCATAAGTTCCATTATCATCAACTTGGATTCCATTTTTATGGCTATACCTGAGATCGAAAGATTATGGCCAACACTATTATTATCTATATTGGCAACTTTCTTGCAATAAAAAGATGCTCGATGTTTATTCTTTTCATCTCTAATTCCATTTTCATAGCAGTTTTAGGGCTACTTTGTCCATCAGAATGTTCACGTTCAACAATGTTCTCACAATATTCGAATGCTTTATAATCTTCCTTTTCAGTTCCATTTCCATTTTGATAATAGTAACCAACTGATTTTTGACGATATTCGAATGACTTCTTTTTATGCGAGCCCTTAGATATGATTCTGATCTTAACTTCATTCTTTTGATTCAATTCATCAAATTTCATATTTATAACTTCACTTTTAACAGTTTTATCAATACAATCGAATTTGCACCTGTAACCTTCTGGATCTTCATCCACTATTTGAATATCAGATATACGTTCTTCGTTGTGTTCATTTCTATTGACGTTCTTTTATTCACCTTACTAATGATTCTATTCTTTTTTCGTTTGTCATTATTCATCGTCAATTTACTTTTAACACACCTAATATCTACTAATCAGTTTTTTCTTTCGTTATTATATTCTTCAATCACTATTTCATCAATCACAGGTTCTTCTAGAAGCACAAACATTGCCTTTTTAAGGCCAGACCAAATCGTATAGCGATATTTTTTTATTTTCCCTATAATTCAATATTGAACTTTTGTTACCCACGACATGGAATTTTCGCATTATGTCTCACAGTATTTTTCACATTACATTTCGCAGTATTTTTAGTATTATATTATATAAGATTTTTTACATTATGTCTTATAGGATTTTATATTATGTTTTATAATATGTTTTAATTGTATTTTTTTATATTATGTTGTATAGTATTTTTA